TAGGCGGTGTAGGAATGTTGTATTCCTGGAAGTGGTACTACTTTTTCTGAGAGTTATCTGTGCTTTCCTTTGTTTGGTGAATAGAATATAATCCCATCTCCCCCCATTTTCTTGGCCGAGTTGAATACCTTTAGTTTTATTAGTTTTTTGGAAATCCTAAACCAGAAGCTTTAATCAAAGTCATATTTTGAAATGCACTGAGGGGATATTTCATATCAACTTTATTGTGTTTTTTTTCAGTTAGCATTTTGGCAACGAATGCAAGCCTTTTAACTTTTTTTGTTCTTAAATTCCAATACTGGAAGACCTTATCTACAGTCTAATCTTCACTGATGCCTGTCTCCTTTTAAGCAGACCTGAAAAGCATGCTTTCTTGCATGCAGGCAGTGAAATGTGCGTGCCAGTGTACTATATAAAACCACTTGAACAAACTGAAGTTCGTAAGGTTGAAGATAAGCTATCTTCCCAAAGCAACAGTGTATACTTATTAGAGTAAAAAAAAGTAGCATCCTGGTTTCTCCCCCTAAAACAGCAGTGGCAAACTCTGTACAAACTACAGTTTGACTTTTGTTGCTTAGTAAGTTCATACAGGCCAGTACTTCAGTCTCCAAATTACATTACTCTCTCTTATGCATTTACAGCCAACAGACCTGGAAGAGAGACTTTGTCTTGGAGCTAACTCCTGTGCATTTTGAGATCATTCATCATGAAGTATGTAGTACAGGAATGGCTCAGAGTAACTACCTTGCTATTCATAGCTCAAGCAATTTCTGCAATGGTTCTTCCCAATGCCACGCTCTTAGAGGAACTTTTGGAAAAGTACATGGATGAAGATGGTGAGTGGTGGATCGCCAAGCAGAGAGGGAAAAGGGCTATCACAGACAGTGATATGCAAAGTATCTTGGATCTTCATAATAAATTACGGGGTCAGGTGTATCCACCAGCTTCCAATATGGAATATATGGTAAGGAAAAACTGATAGCGACATGCAGAAAGAAATGTTCTTAGAATAGTTACTGTCACTTTATAAAACAGCATACTTTCAGTCTTAGCTTGCTTGTTTTCTCATTTAAAGCACTTGTTACTTGTTTGTCTTTTTTTTGTACAGGGGTGAACTGTGAGATAAAAATGCCTGTTTGTGGATCAAGTGTCATGTTCTACTGATATTAATGGGTTTAATCTCTCACAGCTCTCCTGAATTTAAGTGGCAATTCCTCAGTGTAAGGGGCCAATTTCCAAAATTGCATTACTCAAAATAGTTGATTGTGGCCTAAGAAGTTACCATTTAAGAAGAGTATTGAACTATGAAGTTTCAAAATAACATGGATTCTCTCCCATGCTTCTAGGTTGGATGGAATTTCTGAGCAAAATGAAGCTCCTATAACAAGAAAGTTGTCTATTTAAGTTGGCATGTGCTACTAGACTGGAGTCCTGTATGTTCCTATGTTTAACAGATTAATAATGTAATACATAATTTCTCTTTGTGTTTTTCCCTTAAGAAGCCTCTATGTTTGGTTTGTTATTAGTAGACTTAAATCTCGCATGTTTTTGAACTTTGATTTTATGCCATAGTTCAAAGCTAACTATATCTCTCCTTGCTAATTAGGTCAAATCAAGTCACTAGAGCTTTTAAGAAGTCCAGAGGCTTGACAAGAATGGGCAAATTTTCTTCTGTATTCTTATTTCTGCAGAAAAGCTCAAATCTTTTTCCTGTGTCCACACTGTGTATTATTTGTTTATCTGTTCAGGCACCAGAGAAATAGCATTACTATAGGTTGGGTTGTTTATACCAAATATTACACAGGTTTCCTGACCCTTTCCATTGAGCATATATGTGTCCTGGAGAAACCATGCTTCAAACTACCTCAAACCATCAATAAAGGTAGTTTAACTTAAGTTCACCTATATGACTGTTACTATATTAGACTAAGAGCCATCAGAGAATTAGTTACCACATTCCGCCTCCAGACAAAGGGATTATAATATCTGAAACCCCTTTAACCCTTTCAGTTTTCACTGTCTGCACATATCCTTAAACTTTGTTTTCTGCTGTGAATTTTTCAGACCTTGTTATAATATAGGTTACCTTTTTGTTCCCAGTAACTCAGGTTGATTTATTTCTGGAAAACTTAAGAAAAAGCTGTCCAGCCTTTTTGTAAAATGAGAATAGGGAAGACTGTATTGTTTTCCCATGTTAAAATACCGTAAAACTTTTTCCCGAGATTCTACAAAAGGGTAGCTTTGGTTTTTAGTTATGCACCTTTTTGCATTCCTGATGCCATTCTACATTTGCCTGTGTTATATATCTTGGAAAGAAGAATTTGGATGTACTCATTGGAGTTAGATTTTTGACAGCTGTATTCTTCAAAGATTCCTCCTGCACTGCACACACTTTGACCTAGACTTTGTGTTAAGTCTACATCTGGAACAAGTTTTTTTAGTTTTGTTGTTGTTTTTTTTTTTTCTGTGCTCCCCAATGACCCCGGACCCAGAGTACGAGTAGCATGGAAAAGAAATTATCCAATTTTAATGTTGAGGAGATATTCTTAACGTCCCGTTATTCAGAACAGGACAGCAGCTTTCAAGAGAGTGGGATTCAGTTTTGGCATAATATCCAAGGGAATCAGGGATTGGGATGGGCAAGAATTCAGGATTTGCGAATGCAAAGGGTCTGTGTAAAGGGCCTGGTCAAAGGGATGGATACATGTTCAGGGACAGGGACCCATGAGAAGGGATGGAGGGAGGCTGAGAGTCTGGTCAAGAAGGTGTTGACAAATCAGTGGTATGGAGGGAAAGAGCATTTGATGAATATATGTGGTTAGGGGAAGAACTGACTCTCTGGGCAGAGAAAAATTGGGAGCAGGAGTTTATGGAGGCAGGTTAAGAGCACAGAAATTTGCTAAGAGGCTATTTAAAAAGATTAAGCCCAGGAGTGAGTGGGAAGGGAGATGGCACCTGGAGGAAGCAGGTAGGAGTCAGTATTGGGAACTGAGAGAGAATGGTTTAGGAGACAGCGGGAGCCCTCCGAAGGAGGATATGACAGGATTTCTGATTGTTTGCACGTATATTTTTATGATACAGTTTGTGATTGTGTGATTGTCCACCTTCTTTTCTTTACGAGGTGTCATAAAGGAATCAGGGCTGTTTTATTGTTTAATAAGAGTGAAATTTGAGTACAAAATTGTAAATGTGCTGTGGAGCCACAGATTGAACAGCAAAAAAGGAGCAATAAGTGATAGCTCATTAAGAAAGCACAATTTGTTTTGTGCAAAGAGATTGCTTTGGAAAAAACTAATATCTGGTCATTAGCATGGTGCATATATGCAAGAAATAAATTAGAGGCAAAGTCCATTCTATAATTTCATAACTTCTGACAGATATAGCTGTATAACTGTTACTGCTAGGTTTTTGTCCATAATTAAAACAAATGCCTGTTTTGACACTTAATAGTCACTTTATTTTTCTAGATGCATATTAGTAATAGGACAGACAAGTTCCACTTTTCCAGATAAAGAAATAAGCACTCTTAGATGGGGTTTTCCAAGCATCTGTGACCTCTGGATCAATTTTGTGAATGACAAAGTTCCAACACCCAAGTATTGATAGAATTAAAAATGTACTTGGCTATTTTTTGTAAAATAAAGGATGGGGATAAAGGGGGATGTTTAATTAAAAAAAAAGTTTCAGCAGATAGACCCATACCACTAAAAAAAATCCTTGCAGTGTGATACATCGAGTCTTACCAAAGATGAGTTCCAGTGCTCCAGCATAGGGAAACAATCTCTCTAAATGTTTGCCTGATGTTTAGTGAGCTAGATTAAGTACAGCTGAAATACTTTTGTCTATTTTTGGGGTGCCTTATTAGTATAGACATGCTGGCAAAAAAATCTCCTGCTATGGGCACAGTCATGTCACTGTAAGCTGCACCTTGTACTAGTAAAACCTTTCCTTGTAAATAGAGCTAGCTCTGCTTGTGGAAGTAAAGTTTTGTGTCTTACTGAACCCAAATGGAGGTGATCAAGGTCCAGGTGCCTCACTGGTACACCTGTCTCTCTAGAAGTCTGTCGTATAGTTGAGAAGTTTAAGATCTCCAAGTGTGCTTGGAGCTGGGAGAAGGTATGTCGGGGCTGCAGGTATGTTCTCATTGCACTGTTAGTGTGTAACAACTAAGCTAACCTAACAGGCGGCTCTAGCTGAAATGCCTCTGTCCTGCTCCTGCCACTGGCACGTATCTGAGTTGATGATGAGACTGATCCAAGTACTTAAAGAATCAGTTTGGGGTTTTTTTTAAATTTAATTTTTTAAGTTTTTTTCCAGTCTGAGTCATGAAACTACCTCCCTACATGGCTGAATCAGATGAGTACCAGTGCTGATAAAAGAGGGTGAGAATGCATAGCTAAGGAATGGGAGGGATGAAGAAGAGAGAACCGCAGGGCTAATGCCACATTTTGGTTTAAGTTGTGCAGAGGAGAAAAGCTTTTGAGGATGGTCTCCAGCAGATAAGATCTTGGTTCTATTAAAAAAGAAAAGGAAAACAAAAAGGTTGAGTTACTGATTTTCTGTACAGCTGTACACTTTCCCCTTATGCCTTGAAAAAGAAAAAGGGTACTGGGCTATCACAGTTCAGAGACCTAAAGTTACTAGCTGCAGTAAGATTCACGGCAGATATGTCTAATGAACAGAACGTTCTCGTGGTTGTCTGGCTGAACTTACCGAATGAAAAGTTCATCTTCCCAAGTACTGTGGCTCCGGTGGTGAGCAGTAATGGATTCCTAGGGTAAGAGGATAAGAACAGAGCATGTGAACAGAGAAACCCGCCAACTTCCAGCAAACAGCAGCTTAGGGACTTCCTAAATCCGCTGTTGTACTTTTTGTGTCCAGTAGTCTTAGACGGAAATTTCTTTTATGAATCTGAACACTTTTGAGTCCATGTGTATTCTTTGAATCCATGGCATCAGGTTGCAGAGCTCTATAAACTTAATTATGCACTGTGTGGAAAAAATACTTTTTTTGCTTTAAACCTGTTCTTTTATTTGATGCCTTGTTTTTCTTTATTGTGACAATTTACAATTTCCTCAGTGGTTACATCTTTTTCAGCTGGAGAGTCCTACTCCTCTTACTTAAAAACTGTTCTGTCTGAAAAGCTATTCCATTTTGTTTTCCTTCTCCATCTGCTATGGTTCTACTGTTTTCCTTTTAATTCAAAGGGAAGAAACCAAACTGTTGATAGTTATGGCATACTGCAAATTGATATAGTTGTATTTTTTTTTCTTTTTTTCGCTTCCTAATGATTTCTAACATTCTTTTACTTTTTGACTGTGGCTGAACTAAAGCCAACATTTTCATAGAGCTATTCACAATGGCTCCAAGATCTTTCCAATGTACTAAGAGGTCATTTACTACACTACAGTGTACCTATAGTTGGCTGTAATCTCCAGCAATGTCCTCATTATTTTGCATGTGTTCACATTGAATGCTATCTATCATTTTGTCTTCCAATGACTTAGTATTAGTGAGTCTCCTATCTCTCTCTTTTATTTTCCTATCTTGTTTTTAACTACCTTAAGTAGTTACCATCTTGCATTCCCTTTTCTTGGGCTGTTGTGAAGAAGGCATACAGCAGAGGACCATGGACACATCTTGCAGGGAATTTGAAAAATTATTTTGTATTCTTAAATCTGTTTTCTGTTTTTTATCACTTTTTTCTTTATCTCATGATAGCTTAATTTTATTCATTTATTAATTTTTAAATAACTTAGGAACAGCGTAGAAAGCTTAACTGCACTTAACCCTTTTCCACATGTTGTTGATACTTTCAAAGTCTAATATATTTGGGAGGAATTAATATTATCCGTGTATTAAATAATGCTTTTTAACTTGTCCTGTGAAATCATCCCAATGGAAGTCAGTTTTTAGTCTGCAGTTTCTCAGGATCTACTGGAAGCTTTTTAAAATAGTAACACC